AGTTTGTATCCGGTTCATTTCCTTCATCATGCATTTCTTTTATCTTTTAACACATTTTAAGTGTTGTACCACCAAGTAATGAAGGTCTTCATTACAGGCCGATACTGATAGGGGGCCGATTATATCGTGCATCCCTATAACAGATTTATTGTCATTATCTGCTGTTGTAAATTCAACTTCAAAAGCTAAAGACAATGGGTAAAAACAACAGGGGAAAACAGCCGATGGAAAAAGTTTCATTTCACAAACCTTGAGAAAGATACAGAAACTTGTCCGCTGCTTTGAGGCTCAGTGTCCTCCATCACTGGTAAATGGAGGAAGGCTGGAATTAACAGGACTAAGTGACCGGAGAGAAGGGCAACCTTCCAGAAGGACAACCATCTCTTCAGCAATCCACCAGTCAGGCCTGTAGAGTGTGTTAGTGTGTTTAAAGTTGCTCCATTAAAGCCAGTCCCTAATAAAAGGAACATGGCATGCCTGGAGTTCAGTGGAGTGGATCGGAACCATGCAGGGAACGTCCAGGGGTGGAGCGAATCCAATTGATCATCTCTAGAGATCTGAAACTATCCAAGCACATGTCCAGCCTGATGGAGCTTGAGATGTTCAGCAAAGAAGAATGGGTCAAACTGCCTGAAGATGGTGAGCTGAGCTGGAGACACCAGATCACATAGACTGGAGGCTGTAACTGCTGTTAAAGATGGATCAACTAAGAACTAAGGCAAGATGGTGAATACTTACCAAGATGTAATTTCTTACTTTCCTTTTGGTGATAAATTTGCAACAAACTCAATATTTAATTCTCATACTGTCATAATAGGGCATTTTTTGGTAGGCTTTTAAAGATCAGTTACCATCTGGTAAATGATCGATACCATTTGGAATAAGGCTGTAGCATAAATAAATGTGCTGTGAATAAACTTAATTTCTACAATTTTGGACTTATAATAACAACGTATTCCAAACCAGTTTAAACAGATATAGATATGGTGTATTTTAATATGCAAATTAAATTCTGAATCTGTTCAGGTTAAGTATGTTTTGAGAGAGTTTCTATTACTTGCTTTCATCTTCCACAGAAATCAATCTCAAACTGAAACCAGTTAGTTCTTCAGCCATGTGTCAAACCTCAGGTGATGCTCCTCGCTGGGAGAGCCTGACATTTACTCACAAACTACAGTGAAAAATGTTTCTGTTTCAAGCTTGTGACATTAAAGCTTTTCCAAATATAAATAAAATGAGTCACAGGAAGTTCTACAAACATAAAACCTTGCTCTTTCAGCTCAAAAACAGGGAAATAAGAATTTTCTCATGTTTTGTTTTCAGTTTCAAAAGTAATTGTGAGTAGTTTATCATGTCATAAGCTGATCCCAAGGGAACAAAAACTAGAAAAGAAACCAGGCTGCTCTGAGCGGTCGGTAAGGATGCCTTAAAAGTCTAAATGTTTCTGTGCACATAAAAAATGTTCAGAGAAAAAAATCTCACCACAAGAAAGATCATTTTATCCGTTTTATGATTGGTTTTCCGCTTAAAATTTCTTTTGAAGTTACAGTAAAATACAACTGGAGTGTATGCAGTTCAAAATAAAAAAGAAAAAAGGAGCTGATGATGATAGTAAAACGTACAGAACAGTTTATCATAAAAGTGACAAAATGTGGCCCAGGCCGAGTGTTTTTCATCTTTGCAGTTCCGTATAATTATCCCATTACCCCAGATTTAAAAAAAGAAAAGAAACCCAGGCAAGAGATACAAAAAAAGAAAAATTCACAATGAGGCAAAATAAAAATTTTTCTTTTTGCGCCTCATAGGCAGAAATATATACAAGCCTTAAAGTAAATAAATAAAGTCTCTGATTTCTTTAAAGTATATTCTTAGTTAGGAGGTGATGCAGCATCCCTCTTTTGGTTTCTGATCCCATCAAATGATGGCTATTTTTGGTCGCAGACGCACGCCAATAAACACTCACATGCTCGCACGCATACACACACACAAGTATACAAAAATCAAAAGAAAAGAAAAAGACCCGGCCTCTTTTAAAAAGAAGGACCAGATCCGTCAAGTCTCTTTGCTCTCATCCCTGTTAGAACTGGCACCAGATGGATGTGAATAAAGGCCAGAATGAAGCTTTGAAACATGAAAACTAAAGCTTTCACAGAGACGAGAGCGGCCACAGTTAACGTACCCTACACATTTCATTGAACACATTCATAGAATTCATGAAGATTGTTTTAATCAGAATACAGACTGGCTGTCAATCAGTGGTGAATCTCTTCACAACTTTGGGATAAAGGCTCCTGGTTAATCCCTGTTTTTACACAGGAGGCAAAAATGAGGAGGAAAACTCCCGTCGTAACTCCCTCGCTATGGAGATACAAAAACAAAACAAAGAAAAAGTCTTTAGTGTCCGTCTCAATCTGAGTTCATCAATAAATATTTACTAGAAATCTCTATGGAACATATAATAACCGGTCTGAGCTCCGCCGTGTGGATGCTGAAGGGAAGAGGAGCTCCAGGCTGCAACACAAGCGGCGACGCCATTGCTTGGAAACGTGATTGGTGGAGCCAGGAGGGCGGAGTCTCCCTGAGTCTCTGAACTGGAAGCGGCACGGAAACGGAGGTGGCGGAGGCACGGAGTGGGTAAAGAGGAGCTATCAGTGACGACAGCTTGATGTTTCCTCTGCTTACATGATCGAGGCACAAACGTTTGGTAGTTTCCTTTCCACACTGATGAGCCAAAACATTACTCGACATAAATATTCCAAAATTATAAAAAGAACTTTATATGCTTTATTATTTTATACTAGAAAAAAAAAACATTTTTTTTCTGACATATGACTGATTTCAGCTGCATCTGATTAAATGTTGATGATGATTTGATTATTGCTTTAATCATTATCGGGCTACCTTTAAATGCTCCTTCAGTCTGATTGTATTTCAGAGCTGCATTCAAGAGATAAAACTTGTGGGTATGCAAAGACATGTCAGTAATGCTTTGGCTCATTAGGGTATGTTTGATAAATTGCATCCCTGCATATCTACACGATATGCGCGCACATGGCTTGTCTTTTTGGAACTTCTAAGGTGTGATTGGTGCCAACAACTCCCCTCCCCCCTCAGCGAACGTCCGAGCTCAGTAGTGCATGTGTGCAAACCTAGGGAGATGGAGGGGAGAGAGGTCCGGGTCAAACGCTGTTTTCCAGCTGACTGTGGTGGTTCGCCGTAGGCGCCGGCGTCTGCTCGTTTAGGAGGAGGAGCGTCGTCTCGTCTGGGCCGTTCTCCATAGGGGCGGAGTCTGCTCCAAGGTCCGTGATGGTGATGCTGGCTGGTGGAGTTGCCTCCTCCGGGTGGGCTGTGTGGCTGCTCTCCGGGGACTGAGGTGTGCTGTCCAAGCGAGAAGCAATCAGGCCGTTCTGGTACTGAGCCCGTGTGATCTAAGAGAACAGGACAGACATGTTGGCTCTTAAAACAGTTACAACTGTAAAAGCACATCTGACACTCAACACCCTGCTTTGCTACTTAACAGAGCAGATCAACCTTTCAGAAGTTTCAATGACTTGATGTTATACTAATTAAAGAAGTTTCTTGTAATTTGAGCAATGTGCATGAATGTATCTGGGCCATAAGAATGGAAAGGGGGTTCCTTCTGCAGATAATGAAGTCCAGGTTGGTCCAAACACTGTGGCTTGATGAGGTGGGGAACCGCAGCTGCTGCTGTCAGACACTCCTGGTTCTCCCCAAGTGTGATGACTGGTGATTCAGATGCAGCTCTCTCTGCAATGAGGACTATCACTAAAGGAGTTTATATTTCTAAGGCTGTGAAGAAGTATTTTGTAAAAAAAAAAAAAAAAATATATGACTTCTTTTGAAAAAATTGTTTCTATGACAACAAATTGACAACAACTGTCTCTCAACATTTATTGCTTGCCACAAAATGAATCCAGGCTTTCCTACATTTCTGAAATGTCGCTGCATCATACCATAGCAGCTTTATTTAAAGAGCACTTAAACACCTTTAAGTTCAAAGTGCTGCATGCAACAATAAAGGCCAAACAAACAGAAGCCATACAATGTTTGACAACATTTGACAGCATGTAAAGAGAGACAAACTGTTTTATCCATGACCACTTGATATTTAGCTGCAAGCAAAACCAAGAAAACCTGAATCCGTCCCTGTTTAGTTTATTTAAACTAGAGCTCAAACCTACTGAAATCTGCCTGATTATTTTTTAAGAATATTGAGAAAAAATTTCTCTCAAAACTATAAGAAAAATTAAAGATGTTATTCTTTCAATTTTAAAATAGCCTGTCAGTCATGATCACTAACTGTCTGAACCCTCTAACCCACCTTGACAAACTGCAGGTCTGTGAGGGCCCTGACGTTGAAGTCGGGAATGTACTGCTGTAAAGGGATGCTGTTGTTGAGCTGGCTGTTGCTCCCGCTGACGGCCAGAGAGTCCGTCCGATCGGCGCCGCTCAGCGAGGCGGTCCGGTTCAACCCGCTGAGGTGGGATGGTGAGCGAAACTCTGCAGATGCGGACAGAGAGAGTGAGACCAGAACCAGACTAAAGCAAGTTTAGAGGAACAAATAGTTCATCCTGATAAGGCCACCCAATAAAAGACACTTTTAAAATGTAACAGACATCTGCAGAGCTCTACGGCATTCAGTAAGTCATGGTTCCACAATGTAGGGTTCTAAAAACACGGTGCAGGTTAGAAATGATGACAGGAATGAGAAATTAGGAACAATCAACAAGGGATGATTGCAGGAAATATCAGGAAAAACCCAAAAAACAATCATAAAGGTTAGCTGGAATCAAATGTTCCTCAGAAACACACATACAGATAGTCAGTGACACACAAAAAAGTTTCCAACAAAGAGTGACTCAGCATTAATCAAGATGCCTGACATCAGCCACAATCATTTCTCTAAATCAAACAAGATAAAGCCCTGCAGGGGGAAAGGTAAACATTTAAAGCAACTGTTTTTAAATAATCTGAAAACTGTTTGCTTTTCTGCCGAGACAGATGCATCACACAGAGCTTTAGTTGCAAAACTTAAAAACTAAAAATAACATTCAGATTCTGAAATAAACCCTTTAACTGTTTACCAGATACACGCCTGGTTCATTATTTGTATAAATCCTCAATGTTAGACAAAAAGGGGCAGTTTAAGATGTGTAAGAAGTGTTTCAATACATTTGTTTTGCTTTAAGGTTAAATATTTTACATCCAAATATTAGTAAAAATACAGCTCTTCATTCAAGACATTTATCTAGTGGGGGAAAATCCTAACATTTGCATCTCATTCTAGAGGCTTCCTCAGTTCTAACTGATGATGGGGAGCACTGAGATTAATATACCCTTGCCGAGCTGAATGCGCAGTTTCATCTGGCTTGGTCTGCCGCGGTTTCCGTAGCGTCGTGAACGCGCTTTCAGGAAATCCTATAACTACTGTTTATGCTCTAAAAACATTCTAAATGACTTCGTTTCGAGTAAATTCTGGATGCTACCCACTCAGGACACTTGGAATACATTGGACGAGCAGTATGGAGGAATATTGACACGTTTTTTGTGGACTTTTATGGACCTTTCTGCCTCGGGCGCCATAGACCTCCATTATTTGAATGTCAGCAGACAGTAAGAAGCCTCCCAGATCTCCAGATGCATTTGAGATATCAAAAAAGTACTCCAGAGTGTTGTTCAGCATGGGGGTGAGTAGAAAATGAAGGCTAATCATGTTTTGGGTGTACTATTCCTTTAACACAGAATAAAGGGAAAAAAACAAAAGGTGTATCTGATCATGACCTGGATGACCTACTTTAAGGTACTTTATGATACTATATAAATAGGCCCCCTGGTCCTTTGGAGTAACACAGCATAACTGATCCTCCACCATACTTAATAGAGGACATGGGGTGATTTTCCATATATTCTTTTCCCTTATTATTTGTTGCAGAGCTTTCTTAGTAAGCTAACTGAAACTTATTGATCATAAATTCGAAACTTCCAAGAAAATCCAAAAAATTGTAAATAAATAAACACTTTAGTCAAAATGGTTCACATGAATGGATCCCTTATAATAAAACATTTTATATTAACTGGTGAAACTGAGATGAATTTATCTTTTTGGCATTTTCCACATCTTTACCAGGGGTGCTGATCTATGAGGTTCTTTACAGATATAACATAAACAACTGATTTCATCTGCACAGCTATTAAAGTCCAAACAGATTAGTATTATTAAGATAAATATAAGCAAAAATCTCCTTAGTATCACTTAGGGAGTAATTTCTGCATTAAAAACATTTCACATATGATTTAACAACAAATAAATGGAATATTTAAATCAAAAGTTGGATTCTTGATTCTTAAAAAAAGAGAAAAAGAAAAAAAGCCTTAAATCAGAAATGTCACAAGATAAGTGATGAAGACAGCTTTATTTGTAGTTTGGGTTTAAGAGAAATCCAGAACTTACTCATAGCCATCTATAGTTCCTATTTTAACTCTCAATGATGCTTGATGACTTAAATAAACTTCCCTTTTTGCCTCTAATATGCTGACATCATCCAAACAAACCAAATCATTCTGGAAGCATCACACGCATACAAACAATTCATACACAAGGCTGTCACCACAGTGCTTCTTATTACCGGTTGGTGTGAGACGTCCAGTAGGGGGCCGCAGTGAGTCATAGGAAACTGTTTTACCTGGACATGTCAACTGTTTTAGTTAACCAGGAATTAAATCAGGACACTCATCCTGGATGTCTGCAGCTAGTCTAACAGTTAGTGGTTAAATTAGCAAACATCTTTTATTCAATCCAGTAGGAGATTTTTCTCAGGTTAAAATCAGAAAACTCATTCTTTTACCTTAAAGTTAACATGAAAATATTATCTTCAGCTAATTTTAAATCCAAATAAATAACAAACCACCTTTTATGGCAGCATAAAGTGTGACTGAGATAAAAACTTTTAATCTTCTATCTTTTTTCTATCTTTCTTTAAAAGCTTATCTGTTACTCTGAACATATATTTTCTATGAAAACATAAACCTGAAATGTTAAAAAGTTTATCTGTTTTAAAAGACCTAAATAAGTAGCAGTTTGAAATCTTAGACAGAAAGAAGTCTTTGGTGATTTAGAAGGGAATCTGTTGATTAAGCAGAAACAATACATTGAATGCTGGTTTTATGGGATATTTTTTGCTGCTTATTAAAAAAAACAACTAATCTAGCTATATATAGCCTTTTGTATCTTTTTTTATTATGCCTTTGCAAAAAAAAAGAAGAAAAAAAGATTTTATCTGAACCTGGACCCTTCTCTGATTATTCCCTGTTGGCTTAATCACAAAACAAAAAAACAGCTCTGTTCCAAACAGTGCATTAAAATATGAGTTAAACGTTATCCAATAAATAGCCGCTAGAAAATATTGTATTATTACATTATCGGAAAAATACAAATAAAAAGCAAATCAAAGAGAAATCCAACACAATCTTTGATTTGTTGGCAGAAAAAAATGTTTTTCTGAGAAATTAGCTTATTATAGAAACATATTTTTATATTTATCCTGTTTACTTGTGATATATTTCAATGACAACAATAAAAGCAGATGTTTGAAAATAAACGGCAACATTTAGCAACCATGTCATAATAATATAATAATAATATTTTTGAAGTTATTCTGTCATTATTGTTCTCATTTAAAACCTGCTGAAAAGTTTCCTACTGGATTAAACTGAGTCAATATTATCAGTAAACTAGTCTGTTTGAGTTAGTGCAATAAAGATCTACTGACCCAGTTCCAAACAAACACGTCTATATAATAACAAATATAGGTGGGAATATATTTGGAACTGGGTGCTGTTTTAAAGACGTCTACGTCTTACTGCAGAATCTTGAGGACATCTAAGCTAGAATTAAACTATTTTTGAAAAAGAAAAAGAAAGATGATAGAAAAGCATAAATGGAACATTACAAACTACATGTTGAAAGCTACATGCTCTATCTTTAGGGCAGTGATCAGTGATGGGGAAAGAGTTGGAAGCTAAAAGGATGCATCCAGACATGACTCAGCAGCTTTATTCCTTAAGGGGTATCAAACCACATCTGGGTCTCTTCATGTTTGCCTATCCTTCTATATCTATAGCACAAGGCTGACATGTTGGCAAACGCTCAGACCAAACTCACCTCGTTCGGACTTCAATTATACAGCAGCAACCTGCTGCATGTGTCATTTTATGCAACGGAGATCATCTAAAAGGCCGACCTATTCAGCTTTCTAAAGATCAGGCTTTGTCTTAAAGAAGGGCAGCTGAAGGACTTTGCTTTGGGTGGTTTCTACCAGAGCAGCTCTCATTCTAGAAATGCACTAGTTCTGTTCTCCACATCCTGAGAGCTGGGTCAGTATGTCAGTAAAAACATCGGATCCAGTAAATCATTGATAATTCTTCCTTTTTAATTAAATTTTTAATGAATGATCACATTCAGTGTTTTACTCATTTTCTCTGCAAACAGGTGATCTTCTATCACCGCATATATCTGAACTTACTGCACAGCTGTTTGGGTTCGTACAGTCTGCTATTCTATTCTATTTATAATGTTGTTGTTCAAGCATGCCATCTGAATTCCTAAAACTTAAACCTTCAAAAGGGAAAATTTTTATAACTTTTACAACTAAATAACAGTTTGCCAAAATGTAGCCGTCGTGCAGTCCTTAAAGATTCAATCATACGGTGAATAGAGCAGGTGCTGTGGGTTAATTCTGAATAAGCTGCATCTCTGTCTATGACATGATCAGGCTAAAAAAGATTGACTTTGAAGAGAAGCGCTAATCATTATCAGCTGTTCTACCCACAAAGGGCAGCAGAGAACCAACTCTCTGCCCTTTGACCTCTCCAACGAGTGAATCTAAGCCCCGTCTGCGCTCGGTGTTAGACTACCCAGACATGCCGGCGTTTACCTGGTAACCGAGAGAACAGAGAAAACCTCTTAAAGGAGAGGAGGCGAGGACGAGGTGCGGCCACTGAGAGGACAGGAGAGAGGGGAAGGGAGCGACGGGACAGAGGGAGGATGAAAGGAACGGTCAGTGATAAACAGGGAGACAGATCTGCTCACAGCCTGGGAGAGAGCAGGCAGCGCCATGGCGACAAGCTGCTGCTCCCTGTCAGATCTCTCTGTAGGAAGGTAAGCAGATGAGCTGTAACAGTGTTTTCCTTTAAGGAGTTTGAACAGAGGTTGGATGTTGAGGCTAAAGAGAGAAGGAAGGTTATCAAACATTATTAGAACAATGCTTCACTCATCCTCTTTTTGTTCCTTTTCCCCATTTAAAGGTCCTGAAAGAGTAACAAAGTATTTTAGGAAAAAATGGAAGCAAGTGAAGAAGAAGAGAAATGCTTTTATGCGAACAGATGTTCTATTTTCTCCATTTACTCCCCATTGTGCTTTCATTGCAGCTACAACTTGCTTCTGATTCCATTAGAAGGTAAAACCAGGAAGTTTTTACTAAATCTGCTTCACATCCACTGTAGATAACAGATAATGGCTTTGTTGGATGTTTCTTCCTGTTATAAGGGAGCCGTTACTTTCCACTGTTACCACATGCATTGATGCGAGACCAATACAGACGTCATCGTACGTTTATTTGCAGGAATATAATTAAAAACAGAGAAACTTTGACCTTCTAGAGATATAAAAGAGAAAAAATGAATGCATCACATCCTGAAGGTAACACTTGATGTTCCATTTGTTCCAGCATCACATTAGTAATGATCAAATGCAAATAAAAATAAATAAATAAACAACAGATGGGAAGTAGTTCACAAAATGAGTTCCAAGCTGTGAGTAAAATCTTGGTCACCAGGTGGCAGCAGAGAGACAGCTAATGGGATTATTTTTATTTATTTTTTTTTTTAAATGGGATCAGTGAACAGATCCTGATCTTAGATGAAACAATTCAGGACTCACCCTGCATGGAAGCATTGAGCGCCATGACTCCATAATACGAGAAAGGTCCCGTCTCAAACTTCATGTTCTCGTTTCCGGCCTCTACCTCAACTCGGCCCTGTTGATCAGAACAAAAAGATGCTGTGTTAATAATAGAGCTAAAACCAACAAAAATGTATAATTTCCAGTGAACAAAAACTGAAAAACCTTAGAGAAAATATGTTAAACCTCAGTATGTTATAGTTTAGATGAAATTACATGACTTGACCTCTAGATGGAGCTCCATCCCCAAGTAAAATATAAAAAGTATTACTGATGCCCTACAGATAGGCTCTGCATCCTTTGCTTGAGGAGAGGAAACATGTTTTTGTTGGATTTGACTGAGTTCTACATCAAACAGGAGTCATAGCAACAGAATCTGGATACAACAAAGAGAAAATAATTAACCAGAGGCCTATGTACTGGCACAGAGAGCTGGACCGGTTCGGACGGCTGGAATGTGTAAACTGCAGCAACAACAGCACAGTTAATCCATCCTGCCATCCTCTTCTTCCTTTCAACCCCCCCCAAACCCCTCCAAACACAGGCAGCGAACGGCCTGATGAAAGCAGAGCAGGTGGTGACATAAAAGAGGAGTAAACAGAAAAACAGCAGAGCCCCAACAACACTGTTCTCAATGAGGGCCGATCAACGGGGACAGAAAATATCTAAATTATATTTTGTATCATTTTGCACATTAATATAGCCCTCATTTGCCAGAATATGCTCATACATTTCCAGCATTGGTTATTTAATCAAGTAAAAAAGCCAAACAAATGTCACAATCACAAGTCTTTCAAAAAAAATTGTGAAGAAAGACACAGCAGTCACACAGTCCATCACATCCTCAGTTAATATTTAAGCCCTATAAAGGTTAGGGCAGATGTAAGTAGACAAAAAAAAAAAACCTGTGATTTATAGGAAGATCTAAAGACTCCAATGATACTCAGGAGATAAAGGTTAATAAATCAACAAAATGACCATAAACTATTATTATTACATAAGAGGATCTTGGCTTTGTCTAGAGTAAACCTCTCAGGAAATCTAAACATGAATGGTACAGTATAACCACCCCTGCTGCTATTATAGGATGTGTTCCTCCTTAAAAAGGAGGATAAAACAGGCGAGCTACTAAAATTAGAAACACTCAGATCATCTCAGCTCATATTGAACTTAATCTGAAGCTCAAAGAAGCTTTAGATGAATCATTCTTAGGCTAACCCGTTTCTGCAGTTCCAACCATTAATTCACAAATTGATGCAAGCAACTTATTGATGTACTAATTAATGCACCCTTCAATGCATGTAGCCCCCTCCGATGCATGCATATTCCCCTATATCCTGCATCTAGGCATGCAAAAGTTTTTATTCAACTGATTTCATGCGTATTCTCGTAGACATGGAGCTGTAGTCTTGCTCCGCTGACTGAGGGATAGGAACACAAATGCGTTCAGAAGAAACTTTTGAATCAAATAAAGGGTTTAAAAATACTTTTTAAAGAAATTTTATATTCTTCACAACAATTACAGTTGTTTATTTATCATTTTTTATTTTCCAGTTTTTCATTTCTCATTTATTTCTTTTTACTTTTGATTTCTCTTTGAAAGTCATTTAGATGCTTGCATACTTTTGCAAAATAAATATTTTTGTTCTTTAACACCAGTGATTAAAAAGGGAAATTAATCTCCAGTGTGATTGGTTGAAACGCTGGCTGTTAAAAGACAATTTTTTAAATATGTCATTAATTTTTGCCATACCTCAAGTGAAGTTAAACAAGTAGAACTAGTAGCAAAGTTGTCGTTAAGCATTAACGAGCCGTCAAATGATTCATTCTGTACTGTTGTGTTAACACCTACAGCTTGTTCTATATTACCTGAGGTAAGGGAAAACATTAATGACATAAATAAAATAATTTCCTAACAGTCAAAGATTATAAGACCTGATAGTTATGATTTTTTGATTGTTATCAAATCGTTACAAATAACTTTTTAGTTCTGTTGATGTCAAGTAGTCATAACAAAGACATTTTAGACTCCTGGTCCATAGCAGGCCATATGTAATGATTATGACAGTATAATGTTAGTCTTATGCACAGCCAGTCAAACTCAGTGCTATTGAAATGTTTAACACACTGTATAATATGAAGGATTAATGTAAACTATTTTAACAATCTGTCTCTAAATTATGAACATAAAGAGGTTAAAAAAAAAAAAAAAAGATACTTCCCTAAAAACATGGTCATGTATCCTACAGAGAGAGCTCCACTCTGACATACTTCACATTTTTGGTGGCTTATGTGCATGCCACTGGACCATGTTTGTCCAGGTGAAAAATGTCAAATGTGCACACCGAAGCCTTTTTCTGGTTGTACCTCCAAGCCCAACTCAAATCGGACGTGATGCAAAGAGAGCACCTTTAGCTCTCCATGAAAAGCCCGTCCTTCCTCAGTAACTGAGCCCAAACTGCTAAAAAAAAAAAAAGAAATCCAAATTCCTTACGTATATATAAAGGATGTAAACCTGCCACAGAGATAATCAGGCTTAATCTGAAAGAGATCAGATTTATGTCTGGAGAACAGGTTGCTGAAATAAAAGTAAAACGTCCCTCTACTTGTCAGAGATATCATGAAACCAGTTGGAATCAAAGAAATATGAATCCACATTCCTCTGTTGCTTATCAGTGCAGCTAAAACATCACTTATCTGTAGGCTAAGGTTAACTCTGTGTAGTTGATCATCAGCTGAGGTCACATGTTTACTGCACCACATGCACATAACTCATACAATGCATGGCTTGTATGTATGAGTAGTTAAATTTATTGCGGGGCAGCAGCAACAGGACAGTGTTAGCAGGTGTGATAAACTCCCATCCTCTGCTCTGCACCAACAGGACAGCCTGCATGTAGTTGAATCCGTTTGACTGCACCGGTAGGAGTTTTATTCCTTAAACATGACCTTCGTGAGATCAGGATTGATCAGTCTTCTGATGTATCTTCAAAAATAGATCCTCATCAGTGAAGAATTTAATCTGCTGACTAAAATCTTTTCTCTATTAAATTCATTTCAAACAAAGGTCAGCATGTGGCAGCGAACTGCTGACATCCTGTAGCTTCACTTAAGGGGTTTAGGGCCTTTTTATGTAGATAGTGAGATATTTCCAGCCTTCAATTAATAGTCCATTAAGTCTAGAATCTAATTCGACGTTGATAAATCCAACAGGCTATTTTAAGTCTGGTTATCAATAGCGTCTGATAAGGAGGACCAATTCAAATCCACCATTTCACAACCTTCTACGTCAGTAAACAGACAGTTCTAAGCCCAGTTCTTGGTTTTATTGGTAGTTCAGTATTTAAGTAAATAGCTGTTCTGATTAATTATTTAAATGCTCAAATATTATGATTTGCTTGTGTTATTTTTTTGAAACTTTTAAATGATACCACATTTCCATTGGTTGAATGATTCTGTGTCTGTCTGCCAAATAAAAGTCAGAAATGTTGTTTGAGCTTCTTTTTACTTTATACTTGGGAACTTTTGGTTGGTTGGTTACAAAATTGGACCAAAATGGGTCAATCTGTCTGAAGAGAGAATATAAATAAATAAATAAATAAATAAATAAATAAATAAATAAATAAATAAATAAATAAATAAATAAATAAAGCCCGTAATGAGGACATCAGCAGAATTTACAACCTCGTTGGCTTTTTGGGAATGCAAACCTAAAGCTTGTTTGTTAGAAGGAACCCTGTTTGCTTCCACTTCATCACCACCTTTACAGCGCTCTCTATAGCCTCCCAGCCTCATGCAAAACAAATGACTAACAACAGGTGTGGCTGGACAACCAGTTTACAATCAGAGCAGGCACTCCTTCAGCATGTCGCAGGACCGCCTTTTCAGTCACAGCAGTTTTTTTTTTTAATTGAAGCCTCTTTTCACTGTTTTTGTGTCATAAGTCAAGTTTTTTTTATATTTCCCATCCCTAACCACTAAGTTATCTCGTGCCTCTAATTTAAGCTAAGCTATCTCTAACGTAATAACTGTATTTTAAAATCTGAAAATCATTGTTTTTATTTACTATTTACAGAAATATTTGTTACTTTTATAGCAGTGCACTGCATAGCAAAAAAAAACAAGCTAGTGATTGATGAAACCATCTGAGCTGAATTAGTCCTGTTACAATCTAATCTTAATTTGATGCAGAAAAGGACATGCAGATTACTGAACTTACTAACTTGTAAGTAATGATTATGAGTACAGAAGACCATCTCTCCTTTGGGGCCCAGTAATTGAGCTTAAAGATCAAAGTTTTTACTGAGACGTGTTTAGGCCTTAACCCGTAGGTGGGTCTTGGCTAAAGTTCAACATGGAGCATTATGAGTCATAAACAACCTGATGGAGAACTCTTTGTTCCAGCTGAGGCTCTTATCCACTAAATGAGCAAACATAATACCTGATGCCCTCTGAGGTTTATACTAGGGGCCTCTTTGTGGCCGTGGCTGATTGATTTTGCTTTAACCAAAGAGCAAAAAAAGTCAAAGAAGGCAGAAAAGTGAAGAAAAAAAGTGTGGGTGGGAGCTTTAGAAGTTTAATATGGAATAAAAAAAAAAAAGGAGGTCCATTAAGTACTGCTTTATGGCCCTGGAGAGTTCATAGTCTTCAAACAGAGCTTAAAATAACATAAGCCTAATTCTGTTATATTACAAATGTATTATTTTTAGAGCCTGGTGACTGTTCCAGTGGGTCACACATCTGACCACAGTGCTTTTAGCTGTTCACCCAGATATATTCAAGCAAGAAAACAAGAAACGACAAACCTACAGGTTCACACAACCTAACCACCAAGTAAAATTCTGCCCAAAACCCATCAGTATGTTTATCAAGAAGGTGACGTTTTAACAGAAACACGGATTTAGTGATAGCAAACAAGAAATACACATCAAGTTATTAAATATTAGGGAAGGAAATCATTTGTTGTGGATAACTGACATAATTTCATACCTTTTTTTAAAAATACTTTGCTAAGTATCACCATCATTCGAGCGATAGTCCCAAAACTAACAGGAATATTCACAAGGGTATTAAAAA